TCTCTTGCCTCAGCCTCCTGAGTAGCTGGGATTACAGGCACGCACCACCATGCCCAGCTAATTTTTTGTATTTTTAGTAGAGACGGGGTTTCACTGTGTTGACCAGAATGGTTTTGATCTCTTGACCTCGTGATCCACCCGCCTCGGCCTCCCAAAGTGCTGGGATTACAGGCTTGAGCCACCGTGCCCGGCCCCTTGAAAGTATTTGTGAGTGTTGAGGGTGTCACTGGCATGTCTTCTGCTTTGATGTGTTTTGGATGGAGGTAAATGGGTAGGTGGAGGAAAGATTGATGAATCAAAAAGTAAGAATAAGTATAACTGAAAAAGGAGTGCTTTTTGAAGCTATAAATTCCCCATCTATGGTTGTTTTCACGCAAAGGTGGACGACATCCTTTCATTATAGATGTTGGGTGGAATTTTTAGCATTGAGTAGAAAGTTTAACTTGGTGATCTTTTCTACCTCTTTCGACTCAGATAGTTTGAGCCTACCACTGATAAAAATGGGAAAGGTGAAAACAGTTTAGCAGGGAAAGGATAAAGTAAAAATGCTGAATTCACTAAGGATGTCATGCTTTTTGGGACCTTTCATATTATTATAAATTAGATTATTTTATATTATTGTTATTTTTAAAGCAATTTCAGATGGGTGTTTTTGTAGAAGAATGTACTCTGTGATACGATCTAGCTAACTACAGCTACCACACAATTTTAGATTCCTAGATATATTCTAATTGTCTTTAAATTTAATCTCTACCAAAGTTTCTCAGTTTTAAAAGACAATGATTAAAATCAGCAACTTACCTGAGTCCTGTATATTTAAAATTTTGACCCTATTTTTTCTTCACTATTCCACCTCCTCTGCTTCCATTTCATCACAATACTGTTTAATCTTTCAACCATCCCTTCTGCATTTTTCCCCCTTTCCTCCCCTCCCCTCCCCTCTCCTCCCCTTTCTTCCTCTCCCTCCCCTTCTCCTCCCTTCCATTTTACAGGGTCTTACTCCTATCGCCCAGGCTGGAGTGCA